GTTTCTGATAAAAATTGGTATGATTTTCAGGTTTCCTACAAAACTTTTTGGTGTCATGATCATGAATTGTGCAAAGAGGTGAATTTTTCCTTTCCAAGAATGTAGTTAAAGTTCACATTCACAAGTCACAAGCATGGAGAAACATACTCATGATTGCAATTTGTTTAGGTTACATGAAGAGTTTATTTGAAAAACGTGGCAGTGGGTTGGAAAAATTATATGCTACTGTCAGATATTTTGATTTTATTTTTTTGGTAACAGTACATATCTTGGTTGATGATGGTTCTTGTTTACTTCAGGTTATTTAGCTTAAAGTTTGTACAAGGGGATGTTTCTCATAAAAATTAGCATAATTTTCTGGCTTCCTACAAGTGGCTGAGTTGTTTTTTTTTTTTGGTGTCATGAAATGTTGCAAAGAGGTGAATACCTTTCCTCTCTAAGAATGTAGTGAAAGTTCACATTCACAAGTCACATGTGTGGAGACACATATTAATGATTTATTATTTGTTAGGTTATTCACGGAGCTTGTTTGGAAAACATGGCAGTGGGTTGGAAATAGTTTATACCTTGTCTTCCTGGTTGATGAGCAGTCTTCCAAGTTACCATATGAGGCTTCTTAGAGGACTTAAACTCACAGGTTAGATTTTCCTTAAAAATGGCATATGGTCTCAATCTCATCATTAACAATTTTAATCTCTTCAGTTATTAGTTATTTCTTTTACTTCATATGGTGGATTAGCCCCAATCTAAACTTCTAAACCCCCTCCCCAAATCCATACCCAAATCCAAATGTGTTTCAGGAGTACTATGCGTCAATTGAGTCCAACTAGGCTCCCTTCATGGTGGAGTCTGATTCATACCTTGAAACATATCATACTGTCTTGAGATGACTGGTGAACCTTGCTGCTATAACCAAACATGGTAAGAGCTAGGAAGGAGTTGATGTGTTAGTGTTTGAGAGCTATATCTAATGGATGCACAGGTGTTACAAGCCTCAGATCAATGCTATGTAAGTTTCCAGTTTTCAATCTAATGCTTTCTATTCCATCCAATTTCTTCTACTTTTTGTGAACCTTGCTGCCATAGCCAAACACAACAAGATCTAGGAAGGAGTTGATGTGTTGGTGCTTGGAGCTATGTGTGGTAGATGTACAAGCATATAGAACAAGCTTCATATCAATGTTATGTAAGTTTCTGGTTTTTGATCTAAGGCCTTCTATTCCATCCAAATTCTTTGGTTTTTGTGCTCCTAGAGCAAGTTTTTTATTTTGAAATCCAACAGGTTAATTTAAGTTCTAACTTTCTTCCTGGGTTTTAGGTTTTTTTTCTTTTTCTTTTTCTTTTTCAATTATGGAACTCCAAGGATTGTTCAAGAATATAACGTGACAACTACTTGTAGAATTAGAAACTTGGGCAAATTGGTTAGAATCCAACATCAATCCTCTATGTCCCCAACGCACATCTGTGGTATGTTTCACTTGCTATTTTCTATTAAGAAACATCCCAAATCCCCAAATTATGAAGATGATGATATTATAGGGAGTTATCAAGCTGTTATAAACCCTTTTGATGAAGTAGAAGAAGTTAATCCTTTCTATATTAATCCTTTATTCTTTTCAAATTTATATGATTTTGATTACTGATCAATGATTGTGAATTTGTAGAGCCGTTCAGGGCTTTCACCTCTTCCTCCAGAACTAGTTGCTCTCAACTATGGTTGTGATGCAAATCATGATATCTCTCTTGCTATAGTTACTAGACCCAGTTTTAAGGTTAGTGTATTTATTTAATTCCATCTCCCTGCATGCCACTTCCTACTTGTTTTATGAAAGTAAGCAATGATTATGGTTTTCAAATTTACACTGTTCAAATTATCTTAGGAATTGAAGAGGGAAAGGAGGGACATTGGCCATGGCAGTTGAGCTTAACAAGCAACATGAGGTATATCAGGGAGACTGAACTTGTGAAACATGCAGACTTTTACAAGTTTCACTCATCTGTTTCTTTTGGGATATACAACACAGGAAGTGAAGCAGGAAAGAAGAGGAGTGAAGCAGGAAAGAAGAGGATTTAGCAAGAGGTAACTTGTAGTTTATGCTATAGTTTTTTGATTACTCATAATATCCACGTAGTGGCCTGTTTCTATTTCCTTTTATGGTCAATTAGCCTTTCATTCGTGCCATGACAATCTAGAACTTGCCTTGTGATTTTTTGTTCTGCAGATTGGCCACCATTTGCCCCAGTTGTTCATAATGATATTGCCAATGATATGCTCATTTATTGACAAAAGTTTATGTTTATTGCCCTTCCATCATTCTTAGGTATGCAAGCTTTTTGCATTTTTAATTTTCATTGTGGTTATTTTAGCCTTGCATTTTGTTAGATTATATTTATTGATTGAATTCATGCAATTGGATACATGATGTTATTTATAGTTATTGATCAGTGCCTCTATTGATATATGTTATGATCGGTAAATGTATTTTTTTTCCTTCTGCAGGATTGGTTCTGTGCTTTTTTTGGAATGACATAACTGCTACTGCAGCATGCATCGAAGGGGAAAGATGGAAGCATCATACTGGGGAATTGGATCTCGTCTTCCCATCATGGTGACAGTTCGCAACATCTTATAAGAACTAAAGATCAAACATTACTGTTTTGAACAAATACACAATTATCAAAATATCAAAAACATGTTCATATCTGTTTATGCCTTATGGTGAACAAAAGGGAAAAACTCTTGAGAGGAAACAGAGATTTGACCCTAAAGATTTTGCTGATTGTGTTTTCACTGGTTCTTACTGGGATTACCTAATGCATGGAATGAGATTATGTATGCATATTTGTTGAGCAGTTGTAAAAATCTTTGTGATCCATCTAAACCTTCTTTTTGGATATCTGATGACACACTTTCTACCTGTGTATTTTAGACTCTTTCTGAGCATTACTTTTCGTGTTTTCTTTAGGTCATTATCCTGCTTTTACAAAAGTTAAAAACTCAGAAAGTATAATTTATTATTTCAAATAAGTAGAGTAATAAAAATTAAAATTTTTTTCTCAAAATTATTGAGGGAAAGAATGTGATTATTATCATTACAAGAAGTGTTAAAGTTATTAATTTTTATTTTTTATAAATAGTGTTTAAA